TTTGGATTTTAATAGTTTGCTTAAATTATTATAATGTCTTCATGAAAAAAATATGATAGAATTACCTAGCCCAAAGAATGTTTGCATTTAAAAAGAACATAGTTTTGTCACCTTTACAGCTTGGTTAACCAAATAAACACACTCTTACAGCCCACTGAGAGTATGTACTTCTGCTATTTTAAAAGAAAATTTCTTCACATCAAGACTAACTACAGGAAGAGTAGGGGAAAGTGAGGAATTAATGTTTAATGGATATAGAGCTTCAGTTTGGAAGATGAAAAGAAATGTTGGGGTGATGGTCGCACAATGGGAATTACTTAATGCCACTGAACTGTACATTTAAAAATGGATAAAATGGTAAATTTTATGTTATATATGTTTTACCACAACAAAAAAAAGATGAAATACTAGAACAGCCAACATTTTAAAATGTCAACTTTGGAGGCTGGTAAGTCTGGGATTTTTTTGTTTGTCATAGATTTAACGGTAGTTACTATTATTTACAACTTCAGAAAAGCACACAGATCTGAAAAACATTCTTAATTAAAACCCACTTTAATAGAATTTTCTACTGAGTAAAAAAAACCTTCATATCAATTTATGCTGTAAAATAGCTGAAGTAGGATTTTAGAAAGACTAGCCTATAATCTCATTGGAAACAAATTACAGCCCCATCAACTGTATATTGTTCTCTTTCATTTTAGAATTATTAGTACTGGTCCATTACTGTAAGTATTCCAAGTAAACTCATGTTTATGCTTTAGCGTTTACTGAACACGAAACAACTGTCCTCTGATATGGGGCCTTGATAGCTACAGGCAGCTACATCAGGACAGGCAGGGAGGGACTCCAAGGATGTGTGCCTTGCCCATTGTCCTGCCTCTCATCCACTTAACATCATAGCCTGTATCTGCCATCCGTATCCGAGTGCTCTGTACCCTATTGCATGGAGAACTTAGAAACATCTAATTAACCTCACAGTATCACCTATGAAATCTACTACTTCATCCCCACTATTAAAAATAAATTTCAGCATTTAATTAAAAATCACATAATAGAGAGATAGTATCACAAAAAATAGTACACACGTAAATTTTTCTTTATTCTCACTTTTGTTACAAATATATTTTCATTTATTTTAAAAATGTAAACAAAGAAGAAATAGGGGATTATTTTCAAACAAATTACCTCTAAAAAGAAATAGTCTCGCTTTCTAAATCCTTTCTACTTTAGATTCTTACAAGACCATTTTAATTTTCTTGGTGTTCAAAGCACTGGATTTTTGGGTTTCCACATTAAGAACAATTTCATGAATCACAACACTTTTTCTTCAATAATGCCTGCTTTAAAGTGTTAAATAAAAATGCCTTCTGAATTATCAATTTCAGAAACAATAATAAACTCTATGAAAGCTCAAAAATGAAACATACAGAATTTTAAGTAAATTATGATATCAACTCTATTTAGGGAAACTGAAGGGGGAAAAATTAAGAGGAAACAACAACAAAAAACAGGTTTTAAAAATCCTTTATTGTCTTGCCACCATAACAGACATAAAGCTGATCTTTCACGAGGAGGGTTTAAGTTAAAAGTTTCAGAATTACCAAGCCTATCCTTGCCTTTCCCTGCATTCATGAGTCTTTCTGTGCCATGTGAGGAAAATCTGTTTCTCAGTCTACAAACTGACCTCCATCTCTTGGGGAGCAAGAATGGAGGGAATGACCCAGAGTTATGATATGATACAGTACCATGAAGGCTGACGCAAAGACTCTCACCCACCTGAGTGCAAGTGTCCTTGGATAGACGCAGAAGCCACTCACCTTTTTGTACACACTGGACATTCTTCATCTCAGGACTCCACTTAAGGCTGGAGCCACAGAGAAATGCTGAAGGACCTTCCAAGGACATGCCACCTGAACAAGAAACAGTCACCTTCTCACCAACTGTGTAGAAAGGTTTATGGGGGTGACTCTGTATGCCATCCATCAGGACAGGTAGAACACAGGCAATTTCTAAAGATAAAAGAGAGCAAAATATAAGGGTCATTGCTCTTATAAACCATCTTTTTAAAAAAAGTCTTCTGTGATGCTGATACGCTTGTTCTGCTTTTTCATATTAGAGGACAAGGAGGAAGAAGTGAGTACTCTTAGGGTGGACTGAAAAACATGTCACACAGAGTCTGGCATGTAACTGACGAATAAATAACTAGAGACCAAAACATCTCCCCCCCACCCTTCCCCTCAAAACAATGTGGCGACTTAAAATGAACAACCCCAACAGCCTACTGTTGAAACCAAACTTTTCACAGCTGTCGCTTATTTCTGTGCTCTAATGATGTCCCATCAGAATTTTTCTGAGCTGTATTCATTTGAGTTTCATTAACTTTCATCCAGTTAGATATTTTGCTCTCTGAAATTATTAAAGCACCACTTTTATTTATTTATTCATCCTTTTTAGGGACAGGGTCTCTCTATGTTGCCCAGGCTGGAGAGCAGTGACTATTCATAGATTTAATCAGTGTATACTACAGCCTCAAATCCTAGGTTCAAACAAGCAATGGGGAAAGGATTGCCTATTTAATAAATGGTGCTGGGAAAACTGACTAGCTATACCCAGAAAACAGAAACTGGAGCCCTTCCTTATACCTTACACAAAAATTAACTTCAGATGGAGTAAAGACTTAAATGTAAAACCTAAAACCATAAAAACCCTACAAGAAAAAAAAAACCTACAAGAAAACCTAGGCAACACCATTCAGGACATGGGTACGGGCAAGATCTTCATGACTAAAACACCAAAAGCAATTGCAACAAAAGCCAAAATTGACAAATGGGATCTAATTAAACTAAAGAGCTTCTGCTCAGCAAAAGAAACTATCATCAGAGTGAAGAAGCAACTTACAGAATGGGAGAAAACTTTTGCAATCTATCCATCTGACAAAGGTTTAATATCCAGAATCTACAAGGAACTTAAACAAATTTACAAGAAAAAACAACCCCATCAAAAAGTGGGCAGAGGATATGAACAGACACTTCTCAAAAGAAGACACTTATAAAACAAACATATGAAAAAAAGCTCATCATTGTTGGTCATTAGAGAGAAATGCAAATCAAAAACACCATCTCACGCCAGTTGGAATGGCAATCATTAAAAAGTCAGGAAAAAACAGATGCTGGCAATGACGCAGAGAAATAGACACACCTTTACATTGTTGGAGGGAGTGTAAATTAGTTCAACCATTGTGGAAGACAGAGTGGCGATTCCTCAAGGATCTAGAACCAGAAATACCATTTGACATGGCAATCTCATTACCAGGTATATACCCAAAGCATTATAAATCATTCTGTTATAAAGACACATATATACGTATGTTTATTGCAGCACTATTTACAGTAGCAAAGGCTTGGAATCAACCCACATGCCCATCAATGATAGATTGGATAAAGAAAATGTGGCACATATACACCATGGAATACCACGCAGCCATAAAAAAGGATGAGCTCATGTCCTTTGCAAGGACATGAGTGAAGCTGGAAACCATCGTTCTCAGCAAACTAACAGGAACAGGAATCCAAACACTACACGTTCACACTCATAAGTTAGAGTTGAACAATGAGAACACATGGACACAGGGAGGGGAACATCACACACTGGGGCCTGTTAGGGAGTGGGGGACAAGGGGAGGGAGAACATTAGAAAAAATACATAATGCTTGCTGGGCTTAAAACCTGGATGACAGGTTGCTGAGTGCAGCAAACCACTATGGCACATGTATACCTGTGTAACAAACCTACACGCTCTGCACATGTATCCCAGAGCTTAAAGTAAAATTTAAAAAAAAATTTTTTAAACTCCTGCACTCAAGCAGTCCTCCTGATTCAACGTCCTAAGTAGTTGGGATCACAGGCACATGCCACCACACCCAGCTAACGCACCACCTTTAACCTTGCAGACATAAAAGTGTTCAGTGTTCCCTGATTTTTTAATCTGTATTCTTTCTTACTCAATTCCATTGATTAGCTCAAATTGCTTACTTCAAAAAAGAACAGAGAAAAAGAAAAAATACACATAGTGTAAATAGCAAGTCAGAATTTATTATCAAAAAAACAATCTCACTAATATCCCTAATGGACTTTGGAAAATATTCTACAAAGTACTGCTGTATCCTTACACCACTGTCATTAAAAAAAAATTCTTTCATTTTCTTCTGCTAGGTTTTGAGTATTTTTTTATCTTGCTCCTCTAGCTCTTTCAATTTTGACGATAGGGTGTCAATTTTAGATCTTCATTCTCAGCAAACTGACACAAGAACAGAAAATCAAATACCACATGTTCTCACTCATAGGTGGGTGTTGAAAAATGAGAATGCATGGACACAGGGATGGGAGCATCACACACTGGGGTCTGTTGGGGGGAACTAGGGGAGGGACAGCAGGAGGTGGGGAGTTGGGGAGGGATAACATGGGGAGAAATGCCAGATATAGGTGATGGGGAGGAAGGCAGCAAATCACACTGCCGTGTGTGTACCTATGCAATAATCTTGCATGTTCTTCACATGTACCCCAAAACCTAAAATGCAATAAAATAAAATAAAATAAACATCATTCAAAAATAGCATCTGATGGATACACTGAAGGCTTTGACTTCACCACAATGAAATCTATCAATGTAGCAAAATTGAGCTAGTACCCCATGAATATATTCAAAACTCCACAGCATTTTTGAGTGCCTGTATTTTGCCAAATATGTTGTGTACTGTTTGGGACACAACAAAATACAAGTCATATCTTATGTTTTCTGAAATTTCATCATCTGGTATGGAATTTGCTTGTTTCTAACACATTTGCTGTTTTGACAATAAATCTCCTACCAAAACAGAAAATGGAAAGGCTGTACGAAATTAAAAAGAAAACTATTTCTGAGAGAATCAGAGCACTAATAAGGCAGTGCAAGTTTCAGAGTCCAAGATTTCAGAGAGAAGGGAAGTCTAATGTGGTGATTACAACATTTGGTAACACATTTTTCCTTGAGGTATTTGTAAATTTGAAAAAAAAAAAAATGTGCTGAAAAGCTGCTAAACTGAGGATAAAACTGTAGCTCAGAAGCTAAAAAGATGAATGGTTTTTTAGCAGTCTCACAGGTCCAGGGTTTTAAAAACTAGAGTCCAGTCCAGTCCAAAAAAAAAAAAAAATGGGCCAGGTAGAAAACTCATACCTTCAGTTGGAATCCCTTAATGGGCCCATCCTTGGAATAGAGATAACCTAGACATAAGCCAGCCTCACTGGTTGTCATAAACAAAATTAAGTCTTCTCTAGAGGAAGACAGCAACATCCAATTTTTTTATTTTCATACGTAAAGTCTGACATTCAATTAAAACTAATTTACCATTCAAAAAGGCAAGAATTGACCAAATTCCAACCAAGAAAGACAATAGAAACAGACTTACAGAAAAAGACTTACATAAATAACGAAATTGACAGATATAGGCCCTGAAACAACTGCAATTAATACATTTTTTTTAATGACAAGATGGAGAATTACAACAGAGAATTATAAAATATAAAACAGTAAACACAAATGTTTGAAGTAATTGATGAACTATTTACTCTGATTTACTTATTACTCACTGTTTACACATATCAAAATATTACTTAAAAATATATTTTAAGCAAAAATTTTAATATTTTAAAATACAATAATGTAAGAATATAGGCTCATTAATTTTAATAAATTAGTGGAAGATGTTAATACCTAATAGGGAAACTGAGTGGGAAGTAAGAAAATAGATGGGAGCTCTCTGTACTTTCTACTCAGTTTTTTGTAAACTAAAAGTGCTCTAAAAATTAAGTTATTAATTTAAAAATTCACTATGCAATAAAAAAGTAGACAAATGAAACCTCTAAAGCTGAAAAATAGCTGACACAATGGCTCACACCTATAATCCCGGCACTTCGTGAGACGAGGCAGGTGGGTCACTTGAGCTCACGAGTTTGAGAACAGCCAGGGAAACATGGTGAAACCCCATCTCTACTAAAAACTACAAAAATAAGCTGGGCACCATGGCACACATCTGTAATCCCAGCTACTCAGGAGGCTGAGACAGAAGAATTGCTTGAGCCCATGAGGCAGAGATTACAGTGAGCCAAGATCGCGCCACTGCACTTCAGCATGGGTGACAGGAGTAAAATCCTGTCTCGAAAAAAAAAATTGTGTGTGTGTGTGTGTGTGTGTGTGTGTGTACATATACATATATATACACACACACACACATATAATTTTTTAAGTTGAAAAATAAAATCAATAAAATTTAAAACTCAATAGAGTTCTTAAAACGAGATTATACAGAAATATACAGAGAAGTCATAAGTTGGAAGATAGGTCGATCAAAAATATTTAGAATGAGGCCGGGTGTGGTCACACATGCCTATAGTCCCAGCATTTTGGGAGGCGAATGCAGGCAGATCACTTGAGGTCAGGAGTTTGAGACCAACCTGGCCAACATGGTGAAACTTCATCTCTGCTAAAAATACAAAAATTAGCTGGGTGCAGTGGTGCACACCTGTAGTCCCAGGTACTCAAGAGGCTGAGACAGGAGAATCACTTAAACCTGGGAGGCAGAGGTTGCAGTGAGCTGAGACCGCATCACTGCCTCTAGTGTGAACAACAAACCAACTCAAATAAAAAATAAAATATTTAGAATGAAACAGAGGGGAAATAGAAAACAAAACAAAAAAAAAGGATGTTAAAAAAATATAATGGTCCAAAAAACGTATAATTTGTGTCCCATTAGGACAAGTGAGCAAGAATGAGACAGAGGCAATGTTTTAGGACATAATGGTCAAGAAATGGTCTAAAACTGGCAAAAGACTTAAAGCACAGGTTCAATTAGTGCTTTGAATATTAGCTAGGATAAATACAAAGAAAATTACACCTAGGAACAACAGAGTAAAGTTGCTGGTGAAAGACAAAAACAAAAAATAATTAATAATACCCTTTTTCCACCCTAGCGCTA